CGGGTGGCGCAGAGGGCCTCGGGGCGCCGGGGGCCGCGGGAGCTCCGGGGGCATTGCAGTACCTCTCTGCCATGTTGAGCGTTTTTTCCTTTTTTGATAAACTAAAAGTGAAATGTATTAGAGACAGTTTCGTCGAACTCCACGATCTTTTAAAGATGGTTGGGAAATAAAGACCACACATTCACGTGGATTTGCATTCTTCTTTTGCAGTGATTTGGGCAGTGTTTAAGTGCATAGCTTCCATCACTGCTGAAAGCAAAAAAAAACCAGATCAAAAGCAGATTTGCTTTCACATTGGTAATGAGCAATTCTTCGTAGCATAATGTATATACATTGCACCATGGCTGTATATTACCCTTGGCAGAAACACTGGCATTTTCATGGCAAGTCTATTAAAAATGGCATTACCATCTGAGAAACACAACCCCTTTCAATGAACTGAGATACTGGAACAGTGACAGGTATTTTTACCATATTAAATGCTTCATTAAAAAAAAAAATTAAAAAAAGAAGAGAGTTGTTACCAAAAAATAATTCTTTGATCATCTATGTGCAAGTCTATACTTATAGGGCCAGGTCATCCTATTCATTTTCAGTAGAAAACAAGAAGGTAAGTTGGGGTAAAACTTCACAATTCAGTATGAACCGGATACTGAACGGGTTTTCCTGTTTTGTAATATTGTACCTGTCTTTTGCAGGGTAAACTTTTTGACTCTACAATAACTGATGAAGGAACATGGACGTTAGGTAATAACCTACATCTGAAATGACATTATGAGGGCAGTAGAACTTCTCAAAATATGCTGCAGAAGAGCTTATCCCCTTTTTTTTAAGGGGAAAGATTACTTTCTTCCCTGTATATAGCTTTGTAAAAAAGACAACCATTATTGCCAGGCTAAGGAACTGAGGTAGTACAAAAGCCCTAGAGATTAAGGTTAATGGAAAAATGCCATATCTTGAAAGGCAGTGGTCAAGGGATGAGTGAGAAGTTTTTTGCAAGCCCTCATTAAAGCTGGATAATTACAGTACAGTACCACGGTTATGTGGTCTGTGCCTCTCCATGATTGTTACTTTTCTTGTTTTTTCTCCTTCTCTTATGCATTATATTTTTGGGATAGGTGACATTATGTGCATTATATTTTTGGGATGGGTGACAAAACCTACAGACCAAGAGATTCAAAAAGCAATCTAAAAATCACAGTAAGGTGCCTACAGATAATGAGCAAAAAAAGCTTCTTTGATCGTTACATCATAAATATTGTAAAGTGTTCAGAATATTTTGGGTTTTGGCAATCATTTGTGGACTGTGCCTCTCACTTAATGTTTTCCTATGATGGATTTTGTTTTCCATTCAATATTTATTTTAAATATTGATTAACAATTTAGTAACTTAAACAGGAAAACTAGAAGTGTAAACAAACATTGTGAAGTGAAGCCTACTCTTTTCCAGTATGCAAATAATCTTCAATATACACTTTATAATGCTGTTTTTATTCAATTCAGTAGAACTAAACATCCTACATGTTAACTTTGAAAGGTACTTCCGATACATTGTCTATAGACATACTGTCTGTTTTTAAATAAATTGATTATACCACTGTATGTATAAAACTAAAACCTAGTTCTGGCTTTTATTTGTAATAACTCTCTGTAAAGCCTGACCTCAAATCCTTCATTACTGCCTTAGCTGAGCTGTATATATTCATAGATTAAATCTTTTCTCTGTTGTGAACCTCTCTAAAAGGTTAGTTTATGTTTGCAACAGAAGTACTTATGAACTCTGTTTTAATCCCTTAAAACAGCTTCAGCATTTTGCAGGCCAGAAAGGGGAGAGATGGCCGTATAGGTTATCTTTGCTTCAGCCTTTCTGTTAATGTTTATTTATTTATTAATAGCCCTGTTGGCATTGGCATTAAGAATTTAAATTACTTCACCAAAAAAACCCTGTGCTTGTTAATGGTGAATTCACCAAAACAACAAAAAAGACTAGCACATAGGACTGAGTTTAATGGTTGTTTTATGTGTCTGTTTTCGTTCAACAGAAGACAGGAAGCTGATACGAATTGCCCTAATGAAGACAAATCGAGATGCTGGAAATTGTTGGACGTCTCTGTTAGAAAATGAATATGCTGCTGATCCTTGGGTACAGGACCAGATGCAAAGGAAACTTACACTGGAGCGATTCCAAAGAGAGGCAAGTTAAAGGACCATAATTACTCCTTGTATTTTGTGCTTGCACACAGATGTTATGGCCATGTAAGCTGAGCAAAATTGTTCAGCTGTCCAGTGCCATGGAAACATATACTGTAGTTCAATATATATAGAATGCTCACAAGGCTTTATCAGTGTACTTTCAAGAGGTTATTCTGTCTGTAGTCTGCCTGAAGGTTTTGTGAAAAGTTAAGATGAGTTTGGGGAGGGGTATTGCTCTTTTAGGGTTTGTTGCATAATACTAACAACTTTTCACTTAAGTTAGGCTACACACAATTTCTATTATTATCTAGAATTATGACATAGCCATATTTACAACAAACTTCTAACACCAAGCTCTAATGAATATGTTTGTTTATAACATCACATGATGTAGAATAGTTAGCTGGAAAATATTTTCCTTGCCCTTTTACTAGAATTGCTTGAATTGTTTTGGTATACTCTTAGCACGCAACTATTCCTATGCAAGTCTGCAGAGTTGCAGAATTACAACTTACTACTTAACAGCTGAATTAGCACACTACATACTGCAACAAAGAACATCATTTATATGAAACTTGTTATTCAGCATGGCAGGTACTTATATTTTCAAATAGTGATTTCAAGGGATGCCAGAAATTTCTCTTAAACTTTCCTTTGTATTTCGTTACTGGGAGATCTAACTGCTTTACAAAGTCACTTTTGCAGTAGGCAACAAAACTATGACAATTCAAGGTTTATTCATTGATGCATTTACCAAGAATTTCAGTACCATGACAAATGGATGACAAGTTGATCGTTATATGTCCTTGTTAGAATGGCAGAATATTAACAGAAACAGTTTTGGGCTTTTTGTTTGTTGGTGGTTTGGTTTTGTTTTTTTGTTTTTTTTTTTTTTAAACATTTTTGTTAAGAATAATCTATCTATTAAACTTTTCTCTTACCTCCATCAGAACCCTGGATTTGACTTCAGCGGGGCAGAAATTTCTGGAAATTACAGCAAAGGAGGACCAGACTTTTCTAGTCTTGAAAAGTAAACTGTTTTTATCTGTGTTCCTTGAGAGGAACTACACATTACATTTAAAGATTGGAATCATGTAACTGGTGAAGACTTCAGTGACCTCTTCAGCGGATTGTTGTCAAGTAATTACTTCAGTGAAGAGAAAGAAGATCTCTTCTAGTAGAATGAAGACAAAGTGTTACCAGCTGATTTATAAGCTGCGATAACTTTCTAATACTAAGGGACAAACTATAGAGAAAGGTGTACACAAAAAAGTAACATCTTTAAGCAGCATGTTGGTCTTGGTTTTTTCTTTTTAGAAACACCACAGTAAACTAGTCAGTTATAAATACACCATTCTTTATCCAAGAATATCTTACTCATCGTTGAAAGAATAGATCTTATAAGCAAGATATTTAATATTTTCTCTTAACTTGCCACAGGAAGGATATTAGAATGGCTACAGTTACACTTTCCCTCTGTGGCAGCTCTCTGAGAACTCATGTCATTCTTAAACAGTGGTTTAAAAAAAGAAACTACTGCATCTTGCCTCAAATAAGGTTTTACAGTCCACTGTGCTGTCAAATATAGCACTGATGATTACTACTTGCTACCAAGTAAGCGATACTAGAAAACTGAAAGGTCAGGTGAAAGTCTGGATATAAATAATTTTGTGTTAATGCAATATAGCCTTTCAGTATAAATATTTAAGATTTTGAAAGTAAGAGATTATAATGACTTTTGAAAGGAAGTCCCTAAGTAGGAAATGGTATCTTGCATCTATTCATTACCAACATATAGCACAAGTTGTTGATAGTGTATCTAAGAAGCTCTAGATTTTTGTAGATAGTTTTAAATTTAATAGCCACATTTTAAACACAGCTGTTGCATGATATAACATTTTACATGTGCCAATTATGTATCAGGAATTTTCTACTCATTGTTAAGGATGCAGCTGAGAAGCACTCCAACCACAGCATTATGCAGGATGAATGCTGTGTCAAACAGACTAACAGGAAGAAAACATGATTGCCAAATCCTATTGTATTCTGAACTCTAAAACTACTGTCTGTACTTCAGTCCTAAACAGAAGTCTCACTGGAGATAAATTGCCAGCAGCTGTCCATCATACTCCTGAGCCTTGTTTCTAAAATTGCATCATTATTTCAGTTGGCATATGGCAAAAATAAAGCAATAATTGAGGAAGAATCCTTTCATTGTAATATATCCAATGCTTTCTTGTTGTACAAGCAACCATTAATACTCCTGAAATAATCAAGTCTGCTCCTTCTACCCATGTCATCTTTCCAGAATGTAAAGTAAGTCCATACACTGTGCTTGGGTTTTAGAGAATTTGCCTTACTATACAAAGGAAAGTAGTGTGGTATCAAACGCTTATTTATGGCCATGAAGTTTTGTTTCTTTACCATGATCCTAGTATAGAAGGTGGCTGGTATAGTTCAGAAATGAATGAGAGTGCTGCAAAAGTAACTGAAGACAGAGAGAAGATAGAAAACAGTTAATGTTGCATCAAAATGCTGAAGTACTATCTAGTGAAATAGTATTTTTTGTTACAGCAGATGGTTTGCACAGGACAGTTTTGTACGTCTTTTGCTTATAGCAGAAGTTTAGAATGGCATCTGATAATTCAGTGCATGAACTTACATTTACTATACGCACTTTCAAAGCTAAACTTCGTTCCTATATTTTCTGCTTTTTGAAGTAGCATGAGAGTCATCCTACAGCTAAGTCCAAGGCTGATGTCAAGGAAAGAGGACAACTGTGAAGTATGTATTCAGGCATGGCTCTTAAAAACCTTTTAAGAGGAGAGGTATCAACTATTTGATTAGGTAATTCTGTCATCTACTGTAAGTTACAGACCTCCAATTTTGGAAGAATCTAGATGAAAATAAAAAGATATTGATGCTATGACTTTCCTTCATCAGTATCTACTTTGTTATCAGTCTATACTTTAACAAATGGTGGTTTGTGTTCCATCTCACAACAGTCTCACTGGGATTCAATCCCTTGCTTCTTAGACAAACAGTAACAGGTATTTCACAGATGCATAAATTTGGGTATGTAATATATTATCCAGAGCAACCCACTCTATAGGAAATAATCCTGTGCGCTTATTCAGACTGCCACTCTGCTATGTAAATGGGCAGAGAACAGTTTTTTCATACATCTGTTTCAAGATCAGCGCAGAGTAATGCCCCAGAATTACTCCCTTTATCAAAAGGACCATAGCTGCTCTGAGTCATAGTTAGGCACAGAAATGTATCGTTAAACTCATACCTAGTCAAACTGGGATGCTCGGATCAGTGCGAAAACTCCTATCTTGGGATTAGAAATCTGAGTGCCAGATTCTCTTAAGCAAGCACCAATCCATGTATTTACTGCAATGTGTAGGAACAGGCGATACATACTATTAGATCAATAATGGAAGACAGTTTAAGTCAAATTTGAACAGTCCAAGCTATTTAAGGCAGTCTTTTCAATCAATGACACTTTCACATCTTAAAGGCTTTAGAGTAATCGTCCAAATTGGAATAATTTTAATCAAGAACCTTGAGTTTTTCCTATTGGTTCTCTAGCCTTTCCCATGCAGCCTCAACCTCTTTAAAAAAAAAAAAAAAAATTGAAAAAATGTCTGTAATCGCTTACCTCCTGCCTGAAAGTTTTCCAGGTACTGTTCAGATACAAGTCTCTTTATATGCTTCCTACTAAGATGTTTTATAACAAACAGGAAAAAAGTTACTCAGTTAAGCACATTTCAAGGTTTAATTGAAAGGTACATATCTTAATATTGAGACATGACAATTAGAATTGCACATTGCATCTTCTCCATCTCTCCCAGTAGGCTGACCTCACCTTTGTCCAAATCACTTGCATGCTTTTCAGAAGCCAGCACAATGCACAGATAGAACTGGCTGATGCAAAACCCAATTACATGTTATGTGGTGCAATCACTCCTGTGAGTTCACGAGAAGGCTTGATTTGTCCAGTACAGACCTTTGGTATGATGTCTTCTGTGAAAAGTTTAACTAGTTTGAGATATGCAAAGAATGGTTTCCCCCTCAGTTATTACCATAAAGGGGAAAGGGTTGCTTGGCTAACATCTAAGCCCACACTATATTCAGAACATTCTGATCTCTCTTTCTCCACTAAGTCAGTTCATATAGCAATCAGTTATTAACAGCCTATCACTAACAGCCTCTGCTCCGCAGTGACGCAGAATTCAAGAGGTCATTAGCAACATTCCCGCAACACCTCTATTCATCTTACATACAATAATACATTCTCATTATTCACTTCCTCGTTAGCACCAGAAGCATTATATGCCTCAAGTACTGATCCAGTCTTCAGAAAAAACAGTTGTATTTTACGAAGCTTACCATTAAAGAGATCAGAGTTGAAGCAATCTTCAGCATTTCCCAACTAGATTGCTCCTATATACAGGCCAATGGGGCATTAGCCCTGCTCCTAGTGTGCCTGTAAAAATGCACCTGCTCAGCATCAGCATTTACCTCTTGTACAGTAAAACTTTGGAAAACTGATGTCAGATTTGGGGCAGGTGACCCAGTACTTCCCCTCAGCCTTCCTTAGGTATCATTAAGTTTTTACACTCTATGAAATAATTCGTAATCTCAGTAAACTACACCTCTTACAAAATACTGAAGTTACTGATGCTGTATTAGTGACCAACCTTTTACAAGGCAATGAAATAAGGTTTCTCTTTTTTCCTGCTCTAGCTACTTGATGTGCTCAGTGGGTATCACATAGCCTAGTTTTTAATGTGTGTCTATGGTAGAAGGCCAGTGCCCTGCCCCGGAGGAACATGTGGACACATGACACTGCCCAAACAGCATGTCAGGTGGACTGACAGGCATTTGCTATTGTCATCAATATTGAGCAGGATTAGTATTGTTTGATTGAGACACTGCAGCACTGTGCTACTGCACATGATGTTTTCATAGCGTCATGTAATCTTTGAAAAGTGAACCAGAGTTTTAAAATTAAATATATAATTCAGCACCTGCAGTTACAGTAAACCAAGGTTAGACTACACAAGCTGCTCTACAAACTATAAGGTGTTAAAATTCCTTGTATCGGTACTGTGGTATTTCACTGAACAGTAAACAGTCTAACAAATAAGACTGAAAACTGACACTGAATATTGTTGTAATCATCATGAAAAGAACGTATTTACTGGAAGGATCTTTAGTCTGAAATGTTACATATTCTTTCCATGAGTTGAGTTCTTCATTATTAAGATAATGTTTCAGACTGTTTCTCAAATATTCATGTGTCTGCTGACAAGGTCACAGGATGGTTCTCTCCTCATTTTATTGTACTCCTGTAAAAAAAAAAAAAACAACCAGTCAACTAAAGGGCTTTCTCTAAGAGCCAAACAAAGCATCAGACTTTCATATAGCAAGCCAACAGCAAGACAGCTGTTATAGAAAATTTGTAGCCTTTGGAATTAAAGTCTAGGTAAGGAAATAGTTCACAATTTCTACAGAGTAAAAAACCAGTAAGATGAATAACTGAATTACAGTTTTTAGACTTTACTTAACGGACAGTTATACAAGTAAAACTGTATAAAACTGTCTTCCTTTTAAGTGGTTTAAGTGAACGACTACAAGAAACTCATTTTAATAAGCAACTGTTTCCTCTTAGCCGATTCTTTTTAGGATAGGAGCAAGCCAAGTTTTTTCTCTGCCTTTTTACCAGTTTTACTCCACATTTTAGTTTGAATGAGGTCCCAATGTCTGTAGAACACATTTCTGCTCCCACAGCACACCAGAGGATCAGTTCTTTCTCCAATGTTCATATATTAGGTTGCCACTTCTTTAGGAACAGCACTGGCTCAAGCATGAACACGAGAATAGACCAGCCTCTATGACAGGCCTACTACGTTTATGTTACGCGTCTTCAAGAGGTTACCTATATGGAATAAGAAACTTTGAGGTAATTAACAGCTAATTACTTCTACATTATCAAAAGTTGATTTTACAAGGAGTTACCTATTATGAGCTGGTCTCTGGAATTGTAGGAAGGTGTGTTATTCTGTAGTAGCTATGTTTAAGCTGCCGTGCTGTGCGTCCAGACACAATCCATTTTAGTTTCTGGACATTTGGTTTGGAACATTTGCTCGAGGAATATTCTGTAAGGCACTTCAACACCAGTTCCTTCCAGAAGGTCAAATCTCTGTTGTTTATCTAAACAGTAAGACAGAATCTCCTATGTTAATAACTCACTAAATCCTGATTTCATATATGTACTTTCAGCTTCTTCACATAAGATAGGAAGCCAAAGATCCCAAGCCAAATGGAAAAAACAAACCCCAACCAAACCACAAAAGAAACCAGTATGCCAATGGACCTCCCCCTTCCCCACTGCGTAGGCCCTTGCATGCATTTTTCTTCCTTCCTCCCCTGAAACTTTATCTATACATACCTTGGAATGCAGCTGCAGAAATTCCAATGCCTCTGTCAACTCCATTAGTTTTTGTTCTTCTATTTCTAGTGCCATAATAGACAGTGCCAAGACAGAAGGCTAGAGAGAGAGAAAGGTTTTTAAACACTGCTTTGTTAAGTTTCAGTAGTCTCATTGTCTTTTAGCTTTCTAGATATTTACCTTGGCTTTAGAAAACATGATTCTGCAGTGACATGCCTTAAGCTGGGTCTCAAGTCTCTCAAAATTAAGGTATTTTCTCCTATAATAAAAACAGATGAGTGAATGTAGAAGAAGAACGCAAGCTTGATCAAGGCAGCATCACCCTGGGAACTCAGAGAAGCAGTGATAATATTTGTTATCTAAACAAAGGACTCATTTATCCCAGAAGTTCTAGGGTTACAGTCAAACAGGTGTTCAGTTTTGGCAGTCCTAATGCCAAAATAAATCTTGTGTTACATTGGGGAGAGTTGTATTGTCAAAATAGGCTTACCAACAAGGAATTTTAATCTTTACTAGCAAAAGGAATCTTTTTCTAAGCCAGATTTTGAAATCTTTGCAATGAGGCAATACTTAGTGCAGCATAAGTAGAGATTTATTGTACCATCATTATTGAGCAAGTTTGGTTTTCGGCTCAGAGAGCAATGTTCTTTAGATCACTTTATGCAAACAACATTTAAAATTAAAATAATATTAAACTACAGATATTCACATTTATGATGTTTACCAATAAAGGGGAAAAGTTTGTGGGTTTTTTAAGTACAGAAAGGTCAATTACTTAAGTAATTTCCCTGCTTACTTTTCTACATAGGCTTCCTGATCATATGCAATCATAGCAAAGTAAGTATTAGATATTTTACCTTTCACAGCTTAAATTCTCATGAATGAGTGAATGATATAGTTGTAGAAATTGGAAGGCTGTTGTAGCTTTGACTTTCCAAGATAGCTTCTCCAATACGATTTTCTCCATTCTCATCATATCAGAAACGGTGAACCGATACTGGCTTATTCGAATTAAGTCAGTGGCTAAGGGAACATTTCTCTCTTCTTCTGATGCCTTCACAGCCAAGTAGAAGCAGCTGAGTCCAACACAGCCCAAATGTTTAGGCTGTACCTAAAGAAAAGTAAATTGTTACTTTCAAAGAGGAAGGCTTTTTATCAGCCATTTCAACATGTAAGTACCAAACTATATAGGCACCAGTGTATTTTAGGAAAAAATTATGGGGGACAGGGAGGGTTGTTCTGTTTTTTGAAGATTGAGAAATGGGTCTTTTCTCTGCTTACATTCTTATCTTTATTTAACTAAATGAGAAGACCGTTACACACTACAAGTTCTGCCTCATTCATCTAAAAATCAAGATTGCAGAACAATATATTTTGATTGAGGTAGAACTGGTTTCTTAATGAGGTTCTATAGTAGCCTAATCAGAAGCTTTTAGGACTTAGTGTTGTACATACTGGCTTATGCAAAAAAAAATTGGGTTTTTTTACTCTCTCTATATACA